ATTATAACATATTTTTATTTTTAATTTTATGACACGTTTTTCTCTGTCTTTATGATACATTTTCGGTTGTTTTGGTTGTTGTTTTCGTTTTTCTTTTCTTTTTCCATGGTTGAATTTGACTTCGCCACGATTGATCAAGATAACGTTTATTTGTTATCATGCTGATCTTCCCTGCTTTGGACCATTGGTTTGAATTTGGATATGCGATTTGCGTTCGTAGATAGTATTTTCAGTCGTTAGATTTTAATTTGTAGTTTATCGATGATATTTCAATAGTTTCATCCCTTTTGTGATTTGGTTACTGATACAGTAGTTAGTATCTACCTTAAATTACAGGATTATTAAAATTATAAATGATCAAGAAATAAAAACTTAGAACAAGGAGTTGAAAATTTATAGTTTCAATGAAGATTATTACACTGATGATTTAGAAAACGAAACTTATATTGGATAAGAATAATTTGAATATAACGGTGATGATGAGAAGATAACTTTTTTATTAACGAAGAAATATGAGAAAAGATTAAAAAAGAACTAAAAGATTACGATAAAACTAGCACTGACATATTTAAATGGACGTGATTCAAAGATTTTAAAATTTAAATAAGTATAACAAAAAAATCAAAGTGATAATCATATAATTTGAAAGACGTTGTTGTAACATGAAGAAGATTATAAAAAATTTAAATAATTTACCTAATAAAAACACGAATCAAAACTAATAAGCGTAGTTGAATGTCGAAAACTTATTGAAGCCCGTAATTGTTTTTACCATCCTTTCCTAACAACATATCATAAAACTGAATTGGATTCTAAATGGACAAGCCCATGAGCAAACTCAAATAAAAGGCCAAGCAAAACCATAGTTTGCTTAATTTTCTTTTAGAACTCTAATTTTTTATTCAGGTTGACGCCTCAAGGATTTCGCTTTTTTCTCTCGTTTTCTCCTTATAAAAGTTTCCGAATCGATTGATTGTGATAAATCTCAGTCTTTCCTGCAATTTTCTTATTTCGAAATTCGAATCAAAATGCAAATTTTCAAGTATTTTTTTCTTTTGGGATGCATCTGTTCATCCTCTTCTCTTTGTAGCAAAAAAAAAGTAATTGCTGAAGGAGAAATAACAAATGCAGATAGTGAAAAGGTTAGCTTACCAGATCATTGAATTCTGTTTGTTTTCCTTGGTGTCAAATGGACTTACCTACATATTTTCCCTGTCCCTTTTTCAAATGAAAATTTGTTATTTTTTTTCTGATTTTATTAATGACGAGGGATGAATATTCATCTTATCCTACACTCTGATGAACCTTGTAGATTCTATTTTCGCTTATTGGTATTATGACGCCATTTGATTTGGTTTAATTTATTTCTTCTGAATTTGTAAGTGAAGGCAAATGATGTAAAAGCTCTTGCTTATATTCTGAAATATGAATGTAGACTAACAAACCCAGCTTATTATCTGATGCCTTTTTCTCTTTTTCAACCGAACATGAACCCCTTTTTTTATTTTGTGAATTGATGATGAGAAGAAGCAGACGGGCGGTCTGAATCTGATGCCACGTTGTATGTCTGCAATTTCCCACTTGTGGAATTTCTGAGTTTTAATTCCAACTTCATGTTTTAAAGCTGATGTAACAGTTGCATTCTTATGCAAAGTTTAGTTATTCCTCGACATATGAAGTTTACTATTGATTAACGACGTGTTTTTGCAGTGCTGATCTTTAATTCTTTATATATGATTAATTTATGAATAAATGTTCCAATCGGTTATGGGTTGGATTAATTTGAGTGATTGTAAAATAGTATTAATCTTTTTAATTTATACATTCTCCAGACAATGTTGCTTGAATTCAAGACTTTTAAAAAGATCGATATTCTCTTATATCATTGAAACTATTAGTGAATTCGATGCATTAAATCATATTAATACAAATATAGTTTGAATGTGTAGATTACTCTCGTGGGGTACATATGAAACTTTTGGTTGTTGAATGGACTAATAACAGATCAAATTTAATTGTATATGTGTTTAGATAATGTGAAATATTCAGTTTTGATCTTGAAAAATCTTTCCAAATTAGCTCTAAACATTAAGTTAAAGGCTAATTGAATCTTACAATTCATAGAATTTATAATACATGATATATAGTATCATTTTTACAAATTTTAATCTTAAATGCTATGTTATCACTTAACAAATTACTAACGGAATTAATTAATAAAAAACAAAGGATTGTAATTTATAATTAAAATATAAATTAGATGGTTTTTATTATATATATATCCAAAAAATATTATTTAAATGAGGTTTTTTATTATTTATTATTTTTGAATAATTTTAATTAATAATAAGATAATTTTTGTTCAAAAATTTTCCTCTAAGAAAATAATATATTTTTTTATAATTAAGATGAAATATTTTTTTAACATTTAAGTCAATTTAAAAGGGATGAAATTATGGGAGGGACGACTATCCAATGGTTTGTTAGTTCTAATGTACGACAATAATATAAAGTTAAGAAAAGACGTTATTGAAAATGTTAATATTTTTTTAACATTTTCGATAATTAAGTAGCGAAATTAACATTTTCAATAGAAAAAAATAACATTTTAAGTATTGTTCTACCGGAAATATTTAAAAAAACTATTCCAATGATTTAAGTTAGTTGGATAGTCCCAGCATCCACGACTCGTCGTTATAAAGTACACCGTCTCTCTATGGTGGTGCAATTGTCCCCAAAGGAAATGGCGGGAAACATTTCCCCCATATTACAATTTTTTTTGCTAACCATATTACACATATTATAAGCATTTCAATAAAGTAATGGTTGCTACTGATCTAAGCATTTCAATACCCGTAGGAACCCACGCTCGAGTTGGAATAAATTTTCTATTATTCTTGAATTTGAATTTAAGTCGTGTATTTTGATTTGGTATGATTTGATTGTTCTACTTGTATAAAATATTTGATTCTAATTTTTGTTTCTTTTGTAGCACCGATGTATGGCTCGACGTTGATTACAGTAGCACTCAAACATTGATTTTGAAGTGAAACTGAGTGATAGAATTGTCGAGTTAATTATTGAGAATATAATGACGTATGATGTTTTGGAAGTTGAGGATTTGGATTCTACTACTAGAGGAGCTGGTGGATTTGGATCCACTGGTGGAGCAGATTTTGGGTGCAGCTAATCGATCTTCCATTTTCTTCTAGATCAAGATCAGGTAAGCTTCACCGTTTTTCTATTATGATCCTTTAATCCTTTTTCTATCAGTTTTCCCCCCTAATGATTTAAACGTTTCTTTAGGTTATTAATAATAGGCATTTAGATTTTGGATAAAAGTAGCCTTAAAATGTATATGGAAGTAGATACAACATCAGTTTCGAGGGAAGTAGGGAGAGAGTGAGGGATGAATCAATCGTTAATTATATGCAGAACAACTGAAAATTAGAAATATGCAAATTATTATTATTATTATTATTATTTTGAGACGAATTCTCAACTTTCTTTATAAATCTGCAATTCATAACACGGATTACAAACCACTACAGGAAACAACATAACCCAAATTATAATCCCAACAAAAACCACCTAAATACAAGCTATAACCCTAATCCTAAGCTAAAACATTATGATAAAATGACTTCAAATTTACTGAAAAACCTAATTCCTAAATCATCTAACCACCAAATCCATACAAATACGGAAATAAGAATCACAGTTTTAGGTACTTTACAGGGAAAGAAAAATATGTGGAAAAATTTTCTCGGTGATACAGACAGATCTCTTAAACAAATTACGCTTAAATAGTTTTGGCTATTTTCTATTTTTAAAATTTACAATTAAACTGTAACACACACTTGCGAAAAGATCTCTGGCAATCTCATCTAGAAGTCCATTAAGCACATACTTCTCCACATCCCTTATAACATCTTCTATCTCATGAAACCCAACCATGGTGTTGTTCCAACCCAACCCCACATACAATTCAGATCTGGTTCCCTGTTGAAGACATCGGCTTCAAGCATTTTTGGTAGGTAGTCTTCGAAAGGAGAATCTTCCCTCCCGTCCCCTCCATATAACCTCAATTTTTCAAAGTTCTTGCACATTTGCTCGACCAACTCATCCAAGGATTTTGCTTTGTATGAAGTGATGGATACTTTCAGAAATGGGTGAACACTTACTTCCTGCCTTCTTCCTTTCCTTTTCATTACTTCGTAGCCAGTGTCTAAAACTGGCTTGCTATCTTGGTCGTGATAGTCATGACTGTTTGCATAAAGAATGTTTATAGGGATGTTTTTGAAAAGTGCCTCTGCTGTGTTCATAAATAGTTGGCTTTTCATAATTATCTGTTTGAGGTGATTTTCACTTTCTGTTAGTGGCTCTGGCATAGAAGTCCTTTGATTTTCTGGCTGTGGGATATAAGAGGTTTCTGTGTTCTCTTCACGAGTTCCTAAAAAACAATGAACTTAAGCAAATAAGTTCCGTTTTCCCTAAAACCATTCCTCAAAAGCAATAAAAAAGAAAGCATTTGATACTGCCACTACCATGCCTTATTTGATAGAATGATTAGGAGAAACTGGGGTTTCCTTAAGATGATATATATATATATATAGAGTGGACTTTTTAGGGTTCGGTTCTATATAATGAAGTGGGAAACTCAAGCATGTTTGTTTATATTTTTTTTGTCTTGATTTGTGCTCATAAACACCTATTTTAAATTTTAGTTGGTGTAGGCTCATCTTTCTAGACCCTTCAGCAAACAAGAAAAACCTTCCATGGAAAATTTGAGAAAATACATAGGAACTGCAAAATTTACTTACCGTGTTGTGGATCAGGTACACTATCCTTGAACTCATGTTCATTGTCTCTGCCGGAATCAGGTTCTTGATCTTGCTGTTCTTTTGTAGCCATTGGCATTGTATTCTCACACTGAATAAGATCAAAACAGTTATTTGTGTTCCACTCAGAATTATGAGAGTGACTTTGTCTAATATAGTTGGTTAATGATTGTAATTATGGTGTGATCTTACGCTGTCTTTTGTAGCTAAAGCTTGTTCACTTTGGCTTTGACATCCATCTTCTAGGTTAAAGCACAAAGTTGGATTTTGCTGTGCTTCTTTCTGCAGTCGGGCTTCGTGTGATGATTGTAGGTTTGCTCCTGACACATTGGGTCTAATGATCTGTGTTTCTATGTCTTCGGACCTGCTGGCTTTCATTTTCTCTGCTTCTTGGGTGATAGCAAGTTTCTCCTGCCTAATCTGTTTCCTCTCTTGCAAATTGGAACCTTGATGCTTCATGGTCCTCGGCATGTTATAAACATTTGCACCTTTTTTGGTCATTACTTCATTAATCTTTCCAGAGACCCCGAGTTTATGCCCTTTTGCACTTCTCGCATTCATTGTTTGAACTTGAACGGGTTTCTCATCCACAGCAAATGGGATGCGGGCTTTTGCTGATTCAGATTCTTTATCCCCTCGAGAAGAATGCAAACCGGAGTTTCTGCTTAATGAATCTTTAATTCTGAAATTTAAAATTATTGAATTCCTATCGCTGGCTGGAGTTTCTTGGTGCCTACTATCTGCTAGTCCATTGAATTGCGCTGCATCAACATGTTCGGTAGAGCCTTCCCTAGTAGTTGCTGCTTGATTCATTTGCAGCTGCTTCTTTTGCAAATTGGTTGCACCGGATATTGGTTTGGAGATACTACTTGATGTTGGTTCATGTCTCTTTTGTTTCTTCTCCTGCAATTTCAATTTCTGTTGCTCCCTTTCTTCTGATTGTCGAAGCTCCGATTTTTGGAGCATGTGAACCTGTTGAAACCCATGATTATATTGCAGCTTTTGTTGACTGCTTAGGAGAAGCTTGTTAGCAAAACTATTTTCCCCATGAAGCATGCTTTTGCTATACTCTGGCTTTTTGGCTGTAAGTGCAGCTTCTGATCTTTTATGTACAAGTGGTATCATCTGCTGCATCTCATCCTTGAAAATTGGTTCCTTGATTTCACTTCTTTCAGTGTCCTTATGTTCCCTGTGCTTTATACCATCATTGTTTCTCTCCTCCTGATTTTCTTTTCTACTTCCAGTGCTATGATTCGACTGGGCAACGTCACTGTTTGTCTATCTTAATTATGGCCTTTCTCAAGCTTGTCACAGAATTTAAGTCTTCCAATCCCTTTCGAGGTGGTAATTTGTCACGAACATCAACTCTTGCGCTACCATTTCTAGTTGTGAATGTTTTTCCTGCTTGTGATGTAACTGTATCCTGAGCCAAAGGAATCTTGCTGGCTATTGTTTCCTTTTGTTTTGCTGGTGGGAGAACTGGGGTTGTGGAATCTTTTGTCCTTTGTTCAGCTTTCTTGATGCTTTCCTGTGCAGGTATCTTTGCAGTTATCCCTTCTAACTTTTTATTTCCAGACTCCTTTTTGGTGACTTTTGAATCTACATTTCCCGGAAGTTCATCAATCCCCATCAGCTTTGCGATTACATTTGGAATTCTGGATTTCTCTTGTTTAGACTGCAATGGAGTTGAGTGAGTTTGTTCTGAGAATGCAGTGAGAGTTTTAGTGTTTGGACCATAGCTAATTGATCGTTTGTGAGAATGTAAATTTGGGGAAGCTCCAACTTTCTTGTCATGCTTGGAATTAGTAACCTCTGAAGAGTAGGTAAGAGCTGCCAACCTCAGCTTAAGTTCTGTTCTTGCAACTTCTTGAATGTCTTTATAATTTCTTGTGGGTCTATCAAAAGAAAATATTGGCCTACCCAATTGTTTCTGATCGGCTACTGTGTCGGTGTTCTTATCATCATCTTCATCCTCCTCTAGCAATGTTAACCGACTTTTTCTCTGCGGCGTTATCAAATAATCCGAAGTTTCCTGCATGTTTACAAGCAACTTTAGAGACTCTTCCAAATCCATTGCTCCTTTCAACAGTTCCCTTCCAATTTCTATTGAATATCTGTCAAAGTTGAGGCCATTAGAGCAGGCCAGGAGGATCTGATTTAACTTTCGTACACCCCTTGATATTTCTTCAATATGGATATGAGAGAGAGTAGGGAGTTGGCTACTTGAAGGTTGATACCTGCTTACTGCTCTGTTTCTTCCTTCCATGTTCTTGTAGTATATCTGTCTCCTACCAAAGTTTTGTAGAAAACTGAAAATCGAACTAGTTCCTGAAGACTCTGCTCTTATCTTTCCTCCATTTTCAAGTGCAAAAGCTAGGGCCTTCGACAGATCTCCCATTTGTTCTGGTTTCTTCCCTCCCCCAAAAGGAACAATCTGATTCGATGCCTGGCTAGTGCTGAATGATTTCCTTCCTCCACTAGGCCCAGTCTGAAGGAAGCCAAACATTGAACTAAATGAAATTGTGCTATCTAATTATTCTTGTTGTATGACCAGGCTATACTTTAGACGGGGAAACTTACAGCTTTGACTGCCTTTGGGTCCCTGGATGATTTATAGGTTGCCTTGGAGTAAGCATATGTATCTGCTCAAACACGCAACAAAAGAAAAAGACAAATTATACATTAAAGTTTCTTGCTGATGGGGTTTCATTAGCTAGCGCTAAAGCTCTATTTTCATGAGTCTAGCCTTACACGGGGTTCAATTACTTAGCGCCACCAAACTGATAACTTCTCCTGAGCAAGCATTTTCATATATCATTGTATTATTTTAAACTCATTCAGAGATTCTTTCCTCTATATCATACTATGCAGTAAATGTTCTCGTTTTTAAGTTTTACTTTAGGTGAAATGGTTCAGATTCATAGTTGGAGACGATTAGTCTGTAAGAGTTAGCAAAGTGGAGCAATTATGTTGCACAACATATGCTAGACAAAGCTAGGTTGCCTTAAAAAGAAAAGATCAAAGGATTCTACACCCTATTAGGTTCATTGATCAACGTCACCAGAAGAGAATAATTGTTGCATAATTGTGTGGTTGGTTTTGTCAGGTAAGAGAATAGAATCAACTGCTTTGAGACTTGGATGGTAGCAGGGGATGGGAAAACGTATCTCCAGGAAGAAAGAAGAGAAAAAAAAATGGTAATTGATGCTAAAACGAACCATTTCATCAACCGAATGTATGTGCATGATTTGTATATTTGTGTGTATTTTTTTTAATTTGCATTAATTAGTTTCACAAAAGTGCAGCAGTTAGCCATACCTCCTGTTTTTTTCTAACTTCTTGAAGACGTTGAATAAGAACCGTGATCCATAAAAAACTTAATTCACATTCATAGGGTTTTAACTAATGTTTTGGAGGATAATGGAATTATTTGATTCATGCCCAACAAAGTGTGTTTTTAGCAGAGATTTCAGGAAACGCTCACATGCAACCATTGGATTTGAACCCTTTAAGTTCTGAAAGGCAGTCATCCGCTCCTTCCTCGAACGAAGATCATCTAACAGCTTCTGTGCAAAATCTGATCTCTTTGCCATGTTTAGTATTCGAATTCGAAGAAGGTACCCTTTAACTCTCCTTGAGCTAGAATAAAGATAGAATTTTCTTACATTTGTATTTTGCTAATTACACTTTTAGAAATAAGTAGGAATATGTATGTTTATTTTCTTGAGAAAAAAGAGAGAATATGAATGTTTTTCCCCTCTTCTCCTTAGTTGGGAGAGTTCTTTCAAAGTTGGGTAAGTTGAGGAGTCTAGTCTTGCTAGAAATAAAAATAGGAGTTTGAAAATTTTATGTTAGATAGGTTGACGTGAAAGTTAGCTCTCTTTCTCTATCTAGAGGGTCTCTGTAAGCATTTCCCGACTTTGATTCTAATTCAAGCAATGACACAAAAAGGTTCCATTTAAAGGGCTTCCATCCCAAGCCTTTACCAGTATTTTCCCCTTTTTTGTTTGCCAAACTCCCTCTCCTTTGCATCCAACTAATGGTCAATAGGCATATCTCAGCGTTCAAAATCTTGGATTTGGTGAAGAACTTAGAATTCTACGGGAAAAACAAAGTCTACATCTCTTCATTCATTCACTATCTTTAATGTTTCTTTGCTCTCCACACTCCAAATACAAAGTGTTGAAAGATAAAAGCAAATGGGTGGCTGGAAAGTCATAGCAGCCGGCGGCAGCTTTTGTTTTTTTAATTATTATTTTTGTTGAATTATGCAAGGGATAATTACAACATTTAGTCACTAAACTTTAGGGTATTTACAAATTAGTCTTTAGATTTCAACTATAAATATTCTAACTCATTTAGCTTCAAAACTATCCCAAATCATTCTAGCTTTATTCCAATACTAGAGAATTTAAAGAGTTTTCTTGAGAGTTGTTTCTCCTTTTTATCAAGAGAGAATTGTCATTGTTTTCTCTTTGGTAATCGAGAGAAGTTGTAATTCTTATTTTCTCATAGTGAAATTCTTCTACCGTTGCCCGTGGTTTTTACTCTATATTATTTAGGGATTTTTCAGATAAATTTTGTCTCTTTTATCTTCATTTTTATTTTCTCAAATTATCAATTGTGATTTTGCTCTATCCGTCAACAGTCTTTCGTAACAATTGGTATCAGAGCCAGATTTGAGTGTGTAATATCTACTTATTGTCTTTGTGGTTGCCACCAAAAGGTGGATCTTCCAACATAAGAAAGTAAGAAGGTATTACCCATTCTTTTAAGGTTCCAGAGAATTATTCACGATAGTGAAATAGTGTGAGTTATCCGTAATAGAAGTTATGGTAGCGAAATTTGATATTGAAAAGTTCAATGGGAGAAATTTCTCATTGTGGAAATTGAAGATGAATGCCATTATGAGGAAAGACGGTAGCCTAGCAGCTATTAGTGAAAGGTCAGTAGATTTCACAGATGACAACAAATGAATTGAGATAGATGAGAATGTTATGACAAACTTTCATCTAGCATTAGCAGATGTAGTATTGTCAAGCATCGAGGAGAAGAAGATATCTAAGGAGATATGAGATCATCTCACCAAACTGTACGAGGTCATATCGTTGTACAATAAAATTTTCCTTAAGAGGAAATTGTATACTCTCCGGATGTCAGAATCTACTTCAGTGACGGAGCACTTAAACACACTGAACACGTTATTTTTTCAGTTTACATCCTTAAGATGTACAATAGGAGAACAAGAACGTGCTGAACTTTTACTTCAAAGTCTACCTGATTCATATGATCAACTCATCATCAACTTGACAAACAATAATGTCACCAGCTAGTCTTCGATGACGTTGCAGCTGTTGTTCTATAAGAAGAAAATTGGCGCAAGAAAAAGGAAGACAGACAAGTAAATCTGCAACAAGCAGAAGCGTTAACAATGATGAGAAGGAGATCAACGGAACGTGACCAAAGAGTAGTCATAAACATGGTAGATCAAAGTCGAAAAGTAAGAAGAATTTAAAGTGCTACAACTGTGGAAAGAAGGGTCACTTGAAGAATGATTGTTGGAGTCTAAATAAAAACTCCAATCCACAAGGCAATACGCAAACACTACAGATGATGGAGATGCTCTATGTTGTGAAGCGTCAACCACCCCTGGAAGGTAGAAAGAGATATGCAAATATATGCTCATTGATTCGGGAGCAACATATCACATGACCTCAAGAAGAGAATGGTTCCATCAGTATGAATCTGTCTCAAGAGAATCTATGTGTAATGATCATGCTTTAGAGATCGTTGGCGTGAGAACCATCAAATTGAAGATGTATGATGAAATAATTAAAATTGTTCGAGATGTGCGACACGTGAAAGGCCTGAAGAAAAATTTATTATCCTACGGATTGTTGGATAATAATGCAAGCAAGATTGAAACACGGAAAGGAATCATGAAGGTGTTCCATGGAGCGCTTGTGGTACTGAAAGGCGAAAAGATAGCAACAAACTTATACATACTAAAGGGAGAGACTTTGCTAGAAGTAGAAGTCTCTGTTGCTTCATGTAGTTCAGATTCTGCAATGCTATGACATCAGAAACTTGGACACATGTCAGAACAAGGAATAAAGTCCTTGTGGAGCAAAAACTACTTCCAGGCTTAACAAATGTATCACTTACTTTGTGTGAGCATTGCATAACAAGTAAGCAGCACAGACTGAAATTCAACACATCAAATTCTAAAGACAAAAGTGTTCTAGAATTGGTTTACTCTAACGTATGGCAAGCACCAGTTACATCCTTTGGCGGAGCAAAATACTGTCTTGTTTATTGATGACTACTCCAGGAGATGTTAGGTGTACCCTATTAAGAAAAAGTCAGATGTGTTTTCAAATTTTAAAACTTCAAAGCGCGGGTGGAACTTGATTCTGGAAACAAGATCAAGTGTTTCAGAACAGATAATGGAGGAGAATACACAAGTGAAGAATTTGATGACTTTTCCAGGAAAAAAGGCATCAAAAGACAATTCACAGTGGCGAACACTCCTCAACAAAATGGAGTGGCAGAGCGGATGAACAGAACCTTATTAGAAAGAACAAGAGCAATGTTGAGGGATGCATGCCTAGAAAAATCATTCTGGGCAGAAGCAGTCAATACCGCCTGTTATTGGTGAATCGAGCTCCATCAACTGCAATAGAGCTGAAGACACCAATGGAGACATGGACTGGTAAACCAGCTGATTAATCAAACCTCTATGTATTTGGAAGTATTGTGTACGTGATATACAACTCCAAAGAAATTTCAAAGTTGGATCCAAAATCTAGGAAATGCAAATTCTTGGAGTATGCTGATGGTGTAAAGGGGTATCGCTTGTTGGATCCCACTGCCCGCAAAGTGATCATCAACAGGGATGTTATCTTTGTAGAAGATAAACTACAAAGAAAAGAAGAAGATGATAGTACTGAAAAGCCAGAGACTATGCAAATACATGTGGAAAAAGAGTTTGAACAAGGAGATTCTTCTGAAGTAGAACCAGCACGTGATGAACAAGAACCAAAGAGTTCTGAAGCTCCAACAACTCGTCAAACAAATCGTGTGAGAAGACCTCCCAATTGGCACTCAGATTATGTTATAGAAGGAAATATTGCATACTGCCTTTTAACAGAGGACGGTGAGTCATCAACATGCCAGGAGGCAATAAATAGTTTAGATTCTTCACTATGGACGATGGCGATGCAAGAAGAAATTGAAGCCTTTCATAAAAATAATACATGGGACCTTGTGCCACTACCACAAGGAAGGAAGCCAGTTGGTAACAAATGAGTCTTCAAAATCAAGCGAAATAGTAACGATCAAGTGGAGAGGTATCGTGCAAGACTGGTGGTCAAAGGATATGCTCAAAAAGAAGGTATTGATTTCAATGAAATCTTTTCTCTTGTGGTTAGACTAACAATAATTCGAGTAGTCTTGGCAATATGTGCTACATTGAACTTACATCTAGATCAGTTAAATGTTAAAACAATTTTTCTTCATGAAAATCTTAAAGAGAAATTTACATGCTCCAACCTGAAGGTTTTGAAGAAAAAGGAAAAAAGAACTTGCCTTGCAGGTTGAACAAATCTCTGTACGATCTAAAGCAAGCGTTGAGGTATTGGTATAAGAGATTTGATTCCTTCATTATGTGCCTTGGATACAACATACTTAATGCAGATCCTTATGCTTATTTCAAGAGGTCTGGTGATAACGATTTTGTTATATTGTTGTTTTATGTGGATGACATGTTGGTTGCAGGACCCAACAAAGATCATATTGAAGAATTGAGGGCACAACTGGTTAGAGAATTTGAAATGAAGGACATGGGATCAGCAAACAAGATTCTAGGGATGCAAATTCACCGAGATAGAAGTAATAGGAAGATTTGACTTTCACAAAAGAATTACTTGAAGAAGATCTTGTCATGATTCAACATACAAGATTGTAAGCTAATTTCTACCACTCTTCCTATTAACTTCAAATTATCCTCCAGTATGAGTCCTAGCAGTAAAGAAGAAAGGATGAAGATGTCTCGAGTATCGTATGCATCAGCAGTGGGAAGTTTAATGTTCGCTATGATATGCACAAGATTAGACATCGCACAAGCAGTGGGAGTAGTTAGTCGGTACATGGCGAATCCAGGCAAAGAGCATTGGAATACAGTAAAGAGGATCCTGAGATACATCAAAGGGACCTCAAATGTTGCATTATGTTACGGAGGATCAAACTTACTAATCAATAGGTATGTAGATTCTGACTATACAATGGATTTGGATAAAAGCAAATCTACTACAGGATATGTGTTCAAAATTGCTGGTGGAGTTGTAAGCTGGGTTTCAAAATTGCAGTAAGTTGTGGTTGTATCAACAACAGAGGCAGAATATGTAGTAGCTACACAAGCCAGTAAAGAAGCAATTTGGTTGAAAATACTATTAGAGGAATTTGAACACAATCAAGAGTATGTCTATCTGTTTTGTGACAGTCAAAGCGTCTTGCATCTAGTAAGGAATCCAACATTTCATTCAAGGACAAAGCACATACGAGTTCAGTACCATTTCATTCGTGAAAAGGTGGAAGAAGGGACGATAGATATGCAGAAGATCTATACCAAAGACAACATAGCAGATTTCATGACGAATGCGATCAGTGCTGATAAATTTACTTTGTGTCGATCCTCTTGTGGCCTGTCAGAGACGTAAGCAACATGAAGATAGAAGGTAGAAAGAGTGGTGTGAAGATATGTTTGTTCCAATCAAATCTTCAAGTAGGAGATTGTTGAAAGATAAAAGCAAATGGGTGGCTGGAAAGTCATAGCAGCCGGCGGCTGCTTTTGTTTTTTTAATTATTATTTTTGTTGAATTATGCAAGGGATAATTATAACATTTAATCATTAAACTTTATGATATTTACAAATTAGTCCTTAGGCTTTAACTATAAATACCCTAACTCATTTAGCTTCAAAACAATCCCAAATCATTCTAGCTTTCTCCCAATACTAGAGAATTTAGAGAGTTTTCTTGATAGTTGTTTTCTCCTTTTTATCAAGAGAGAATTGTCATCGAGAGAAGTTATAATTTTTATTTTCTCATAGTAAAATTCTTTTACCGTTGCCCGTGGTTTTTAACCTATATTATTTAGGGGTTTTCCACGTAAATTTTATGTCTCTTTTATCTTCATTTTTATTTTCTCAAATTATCAGTTGTGATTTTACTCTATACGACAGTCGTCTTCCGCAACACAAAGTTGTGAACTTTGCATTGAAGCTATTCATTCGCTTTGCTTTGCTTTAATACTTTATAGTTGAAAAATAACATAATAAAATTTAAGATAGTGGTAGCAAGGGAGAATCTAGTGGGAGAGATGAGAGACGACTCTTTTGGGAGCTTTTAATTGACCCCACCGTTATAAGAGAAACAAAATTGGGTGGGGAAGGGTGTCAAGTAATTAATCTGAGTGATGAGTTTAAACGTAGGATATGCAAATTTGCAACACAAAAGTTTTATTTTTTAACTTAGATTTAAGGTTTAACTTTTTATGTGATTTTTTTACGTACGAGGTTTAACATGGATATATTTAATTTTTAAAATTAAATATATTTAAATATGTTGTGTGATGGGTAGGGATACTAAAAAATACATGATCCGATCTGTCGCCCTAATTAAAAAGTATCGGGTATTTATAATGAAAATATTCGATTTTGTGGGTTCAGTATCCGGCCCGCTGTTTTTCTCGAGTATCTAGGTCAGGCTCAAATCACAAAATATCTTTTAACTGGGTACTCATTGACCCGATATTTGATTCCTTATATATTTTTATTTTATATTAGATTTTTTATTCTTGGTTATCAAATTATTTATCCTAGCATTCTAAATTTCTAATTTCTTAAATTATTTCACCATAACATTTTAAATTATTAATGTCTTAAATTATTTTACCCTAACAATCTAAATTATTTCTCAAATTATTTTTTTAACTTCAAAATATTTTAAATTTAATTATGTTTTTAAATTTTATCTTTTAATTATGTATTTATCTTTTTAAATTTTATGCGCTGATTATGTATTATATATCTTTAAATTTTATATTTTATATGTAAGATTTTTTTAAAATAATATAATTTAAAGAAAAATGCAAGTTTTTAGATTTTACGAGTACCCATAACTAGAAAATGTAGACACTCAAATCGAGTACTCAAAGGGTAGAGATACGAGAAAATCCTAAATACCCGATATTTCAGCTATTAGAAAATGCGAGTACTCGATTTTGAATGCTCCTAATGGTGGGTTCTCTTTCTTGTCTACTTTTTGGTTATTATCTAATTATCTTGAGCGTTCAACTGGACAGGACAACAAGATTTTGGTGAAGGTGGGAAAAGGGGATAGTTGAGGGAATTTCTGTTTTATTTTGCTGTGTACAACGATAAATGGCTTCAAATGGAATTTACAAGGTTTCCTAGCACATAATTGTATGAATTAGGACAGCGTACAAATCAATTGGAAGGCCATTAGAATTACTTTACTATTCAACCCAGTTAATTTTTTTATTATATTATAATAAATTTAATTTTCAATATTTATATTTTTTATCCATTTAGTTTTAATTTTTTTAACTTAAAATGATCTTTAACTTAAAAAAATCGAATTAACCTTTTGTTTTTCTAATAGAAATATCGGCTCATATGTATTTTATGATATTCTTAAATCTTTTTAATTTTAATTTTGCTAAATTAAATTATTTATTAATGTGACATATTAGTATTAAATATGCATTAATGCAGAGTGTTATGTCAATATCATTAAGAGTTGATGTTTTAATCAGTATTTTTATAAAAGATACAATTAAACTCTTTTTATGTATTTTTATAAAAGAAATATTATAAGGTTAAATTTAAGCGAAAAGGGTGAAATTAAAAAAATGCCATTGATGACGTAATGTTGAAGGTTGAATTGTCAAAGGTAGCCTGGTACTGTTGCTTTAAGCTAATAGGGTAGGGTTATAGAAGGGGAAAAAAGAGTAGGTTGGTTTATGTCCGATACTATGAGCTTTGTTTATGGCTCGAAAAACTTTTGGGATATGTTCCCCAGTGGAATTAACATTGAGCCGATGGATCTTAATAGTTTTAAACCATCATACTAGATTTATTAATTTTGCCTTAAATAAATTATTTAAAATTATTATTTAAACTCATCATACTTTAATAAAAAAAACTCTTCATGCTAATATGATTTTTAGTATAAATAGAGGTGTTAATAAATAGAGTGTTCGATGAATTGTTTGCACAATGTTCGTTTATTAAGTTAAATAAAAATTATGAATAATTTTTTTATGTTTATTTAATAAACGAAGGTACATGAGCAGAGGTGTGTTTGATTCGTTTATGTTCACGAACAAACTTGTTTATATGTTTGTTTATTAGGTTCTCATTTCCTTTTATTCTTTTAAGTCTTAAATATAGGTGAAGGTAGGGATTAAATTCAACATATAGTAAACTTTGAAGTTTGAATTGTGAAGCGTAAGGAGCTTAAGGACTAGTAGTATCATTGTACCATTTTCTGTAGTTTGTAGATAATGGATAAAAAGATAGGGTTGGTTGTTGAATATTATGTGAATATGTTCGTGAATGCTAAACAAATTGAACATTAACACTTTTAAAAATAAATAAACAAATATGAATACGATATTACAAATTTAAACGAATACGAAATGAACATGAATACCTTCAAAAATAAACAAACTAGCATGAACACAATCTTATTCTTTTAAGCCCGATTTATTTACACGTCTAAATATAATTATTTTGACTCATCAAATAATTAATTTAGATTAAATATTATAAAAAATTATTATAGTTAAATTGATTCATAATAATTGAATATAAACCTTGTTTTCATTTTATTGAAGCAACTTATAGTTTGGTAATATTTTGCGTCATATATATATTAGTAAATGCTTTGCCAACGGGTACTTGATGAGTTACGTAGTTCTTCCTTTGAATGGAATCTGATGCCGTTCACCTCAGCATGATCAACCACCCAATCTTATCTTCTCACAATTTGCAACATTTGCTCTGTCCTTTTTCGCATTGTTTAGTTCTCTTTAAACTCTAGTGTTGGCGTTCCGTCTCTTTCATTTTTCGCTCTTCCACTTCTATTTCTATGGTCGACTCTAATTGCCATTTATTTTTTCGTTTCAGAAATAAAAGGCTTTGGTAATTTAAAACTTTTTATATATATAGAAAAACAATAATAGAAGTTTGGTAAAATGTTACGTCGTTTCATTAGATATCACTGTTACTTTATATATTTGTCATTAGATTAAATTATGCATAATATATTTAAATTTTAAAAATAAATTCTAGTGATTTTATTATCTAGTTTATTCACATAACACATATTTTTTAAATTAATCCAATGTGATTATAAGGTAATATCTATTCAAAAGACTTAATCATTTAACAATGAAGTCTTTAATATCTCTATAGACGACGTACTTGAACTTATGATCTCTAGAGATAACAACCATCTCTTAATTATTGAGACTGCTTAGTTTATACAAAGAACATATGTTTTAGTGTATTAAATGTAAATTGTTAAATGATTTATCTAAATTCAATAAAAAAACAAATGTTCAATTTTTATTTAATGTAGGGTCATTTTTTTTGAAACTAATATTATTTTCAGAAATCGCTACCATGGTCATTGCTTTATGTTCAATTTGTTATCACATGCCTTATTTTGATTTTGATTTTTGTTTTAAGTGGATTCTGTCCTTTTTTTTCCTGGAAGCGGAATTGTCGAAGCAAGTAAATAGTATACATGTTATATAAATGGTTACCGTTGAACTTACCTATTTAAACAGCATATTTTTGTGTCTGTTCAATTAATCCATTATTAGGTTAAACTAGCATATTTATTATTCCGTTTTACAGCATTTTAAAACTTGTACATTAACAATAGAGATCAGGTGCAGGGAGGGACATGCACTTGGATACATAATTTTGTATTTCTCAAATAATTTGCTCTCTCGGTAATCTATATTTGAGCTTGACATTGAAGTTTATCAGCATATAATTGTAGTGATGATTGCTGCTTGTTTCGTTGAAATTCATAACGAACCAAACCCGACAGTCATCTGTCACTGGCGAACCAAACCCGAGCATTGATGTCGCACCCGATTGTGGTGAACTTGTTCTTGATATTTTTTAAAACTAACCTCCCAAGTGTCATCTCCATTAGGGTTGATTCAGCATCATCAAGTTGATGCAGTTTTAAAAGGGCTCCCACACCACACATAAAAGGCTGTAAGTTCAGTGTGAACTTCAATGTCTGTTAAATGCACAAATTCTTCAAAGTTTAAAGATGGGAAGTTCATGACAAGATAGCCGGCGACAACCTACGCTTGGGGGCGACACTTATGTTTTGGTTCGATTCTTCTGTTACAGATGGCTATCGGGATTTAATATTCTTTAGAGAAAATAATAATGAAAAAAAACAATAAACAGTAGATTAGGTAAATTGAGAGGGAAAAATAGAGAAAGAGACGATCCGTTCTTCATTGAAAAGTGAGGGAACACAATTTTGCTATCTGCTACTCTTTTTTTTTAACCCGAGATGAATATAATATATTATTTGTTTAAAATATTTATTCATTTAATAACAAATGTCTATAGTTTTACGTATACGATATTTGAATTTTAGACATCAAGAGATAACAATAAATCATTTAATCATTAAAGTCATTTTATTTGTGTTATTATGTGCCACCTGAATTATCAGTTAAGACATAATTAATTAAACATGTATTTATTTTATATGATAGAAATACATGTTATTTAATAAATAATTGAGAATAGGTTCTTTTTAATAATTACTTTTAAATTCGGTATATATATATATAGGTAAAATGCCCCATGTGGGTCATGGACTTCCACCACTGACGTGTAACAAAAGTGGAAGTAAGTGACAAAGTACTACTAAAGAAAAGATTTTCTTTACTACAAAATTGGAAATGGATCTTCCTCTTTACCATTAAATAAGGTTTTGCAATTTGTCATAAACGACAACACGTGGCCGTAACACCTGTATGAAAAACCGACAAGTCACCCATGACCTCGACAACCCTGCTCCTTTCCCTACACTTTAAAAGTATCTTTGAATTAAAACCATTAATGCATCCCACCAACAACTCACTATTAGCCCGAAGGTTCCCATCAAGTCACTCGGTGCAACTGTTTTCCTTCTTCACTTTCAGTCTTTTCTTTCGTTAACTGCTGGTTTGATCACGCTGTAGAATTCCATGACACTTTCGTGAGTGATCTACCCTTTTCTCTTTCCTTATTTTTTGTTGTCTCTTCAGCTTCAGAGAGTATTTGCTCTTGTTCTTTCCTCAGGCAGGACCCAAGGAGGGGCATGTTTTCTTTTCTCTTTTAAGATGTCAAAATCTTTAAACATCTCTTCATGGAATCATGGGGTGCAACTTTAGGGTTTTTTTAATATTCTTTTTTGTGTTTTATGATAATTATATGTTGAATGCTTTTTTACTGAATTTTAAGTCCCAATTTACTTTTATGCAATGTTTTGCAGGTTGCACTAGGTCTTTAGATTCTGTTCAGTCAATATGTTTAGTAGATGGACCAATTCCCATCATAGCCAAGAGAATGATTCATTGCAGCATGAATCCATGGTAATAAAACTGTTTCACCATATGGAAAAATCTCTGTTTTTTGTTTGTCTACTAAAATCTCCCTCTGCTGCTCCTACTAGTAATATCTTTGAAAATTTGATTTATTCTCTCTTTAGATTGTGGTTAACATTTGTTTTTACCAGGGAATACAAGCAGGTCAAGGAACTTAGAGCTGCACTTGGACCACTAGCTGATCGCAGTTTGAAATATTGCACCGATGCCTGCTTGAGTAGATACTTGGAGGAACGGAATTGGAACATTGACAAGTCGAAGAAAATGCTGGAAGAGACTCTCAAATGGAGATCGACCTATAAGCCTGAGGAAATACGTTGGGTAAACATATTTTCTTTCTCGGAATGTTCAGAAAAAGAGAGTTAATGGTTGTGATTAGTTCATATTTTGTTGTCAGGATGAAGTTGCAGTAGAAGGTGAGACCGGAAAAGTATATCGAGCAAATTTTCACGACCGAAGTGGTAGGACTGTTCTTATATTGCGCCCAGGAAAGCAGGTAATGTGTTCAGTTAAAGCAAAGCCAAAATCTAGGCTTGTAAGTTACTTTAAGTTTTGGAAACTAACATGGCAGAAATGTTGCAGAACACTAGATCCTTGGCCAATCAGCTGCGCCATTTGGTGTACATGGTAGAGAATGCTATCCTAAACCTTCCACAGGGTCAACAACAGATGGTATGGTTAATAGACTTCACCGGCTGGAGCTTGAGCACGAGTGTTCCGATCAAGTCCGCTCGTGACACCATTAATGTTTTACAGAACCACTACCCGGAGAGGCTGGCCATGGCATTTCTCTACAGCCCCCCTAGAATTTTCGAAGCATTCTGGAAGGTTCGAATTCGAAATGCGTTGTTACTACATTCCAATTCTTAACTTGTTGAGTGACAATGCATTGCTACTACATGCGTTAGATCAATCAGGCTTTAACATGTTACAACCTTTTTAGATTCGGGTCATTTCGAATTTTGTATGCATGTTTGACACTCAGATTCAGATAATTTAAGGGTAGGCTGAGTTTATCTGATAGCAGTTTAACCAGCTTGTTTTGCTTTCATATATGCAGATTGTAAAGTATTTTCTAGATGCCAAAACCTTCCAAAAGGTGAAGTTTTTGTATCCTAAGAATAAAGACAGTGTGGAGCTCAAGAGATCATATTTTGACGAAGAAAATCTACCAACAGAGTTTGGAGGAAAGCGCATATTGGAGTACAACCATGAAGAATTCTCCAAGCAAATGCTCCAGGATGATACCAAATCTGCCACTTTGTGGGGATTTGATGATCAACGCCAATCTATTGGCAACCAGCAATACAGACCCGAGCCTATCTGCCTTGCACCAGCGGCCGGTTGATTTACCCGCCGGCTTATTGTGTAATAAATTATAGTGAACTGAGACATCAACTTATGACTAACAAGAATTTTAAGGTTCTGTTTGGTTGAATTGAGAGATAAAATGAGAGTGGAACTAAAATAAACTTTGAATGAAATATTAAGATCGCAAATTCAGTAAATTTTGATTTTTCCCCCTCCTTTTAAATGGAGAAGTCTATTTTACACCGCTAGACCTCAACAAGAGAAGATTGCAAGCCGAACTTAGGCAAAAGAATCAAGATCTATCTTTAATGCTACATAGGATGATGTCTATATAGGAGTTCTTTGACAATATATCAAAACACAAGAAGCATCCATTCTCTTTACGACTGCATATATCTTACACACAATCTGGCCTAAAGCCAAGTAGTGTCAGTTGTTTTGTTCTTACCAAGTAACTAAATCTTAACTTCATGTTCTTTTATTACTATGAGCATTTAACTATAACATCATATGGGAAAAGAAGAAGCTGAAGCTTCACCTATCCTTTAATGATTCTCCTCCCAGAACTTGAAATGCTGCGGCAGGTGAACCGGTATTTGAAGTACCACTAGATACTGAAAGGGTTGGAGTAGGACCAGGGGCTGTTAAGTTGGGGGATGCAGGGGAATGTATAGGGTAATGTACCGAGGGCGACGGTGATGCAGGGGTTGGGATGCCACTGTCATTGGTGAAAGGTCGTTTTGAATTCAAACTTGGAACATTTTCCTGAGATGCATGCATGTTGATCTTTATCCTGCATTGCCAAGAATTTGCTGAAGTCATTATTTAAACGTCTATGCTACTTGACTATAGTCCACTGCTCGCATTTCCGTGGGACACAATGTCAGGTTATTTAAAGACCAATCCATGCTGAACTAAACACTTTAATCTTCCAATTTTCCGAAAGGAAAGTCTTTAATCTTGAACAAAATTACAAGATACAATACCATGTGAACATGGAGAAATGGTGAAATTTTACCTGTTGTGGATGTTGACATACTCATCCGTCTCGTCCAATATCTCCTCCTGTCATAAGCAAGCATCACAAAAGAAATTAGCATGCAAGTCCTATAAACCATGATGTCGGTCGTGTTCCTTGCTATCAGGCCACAACTAGATGATATATGTATAGCTATTATGTAGAAGCTGAGAAACCCATATGAAGGTCCCAAAGATGGCTGATCCCTGGGCTTCCCCAAAATGCATGGTTGCAATGTACTGCATCCAAAGGTTCAGAGGTTTACCTGAAGAAGTTCTTCGATAACATCCTCCATGGTGATAACACCAACTACCTCTTCATTTGATGGGAATTCAGGAATAGGACCATTTTCAATGTCCAATATGCAGTATGAACAACCTCTGTGCCGCTTCTTAAAGGCAGGAGTAACTGGTGGACTCTTCTTTGTCTGCTGACCTCCATCACTGTTAGTCACAGATGCTTGAACATCTAGTGAGTCCAAATTAAGCCCCAACCTTTGGGAACTTCCACCAATTTTACGATCATCTAGAAGTAAATGAAGACTGGTTATATTTACTACAGAAGAACCAGATCAGGCAACCTGATGAAGCTATAAGCTCGATCAACCTAACGGAATACATCATGACTGGCTCGTATCTAGTTAATAATGTGGATCGTAACTTGGGCAAAATTAGTGAGAACTGACAAGTGCTTATTTCTTAAAGCCATTTCCAAGCGAAGTAATCTGTTTTTGAGAATTATTCTGCTGTATTATGTATATTCTCACCTTTTCTTGATGTCTCAGGCTCGCCTCCTCGCATCTTACAGCTGTCCTTAAACTCAAGTCTTTCCTTGTTCTTATTCAGGTCCTTATATACCACAGCAAGGTGACTGTGACCTTTTTGGAATTCATTAAGAATATCGTATAATGGCATGTCCTCTGGTACCCTGTAGGGTGAACAAAAAACATGAAGAATAAATTGAGCTCCTCTGCACTAGGGGGGAAAAAGGCAATAAACCGACGGAAAATTAAGCTGATTCTGGATACCCCAAAGGGAAATATATCCATCGTTAACTCTCATGTTCTTATCTCTTTGCAACCTATTTAGAAACTAAAAGATGTACTATAACAAAAAGGAGGAGATTCTATACCGTGGGATTTTTCTTATGATTATTTTTCTCAGTGGAACTGGACCTTCTGAATCAATTGTTAAAAGATTTTTAACCTGCATTTTCAAGCCAAACCAAGAAGAAGAATCTCCAATTAACGATAGGAAAACAGAAAAAGAAATTAAAGTTAAGCCATGTGGAAGAGAAGAGAACGATACACTTTCAGTTATATTACAAACTAAAATGAAGAGAATGATGGGAGAATTATAGACAAAAGATTTAGAAAATTAGAGGAAAGTGCATCAGAAGGAATTCAATGCAATGCTCAAAGACTCCAAGTGACCAAAATCAATATATGAACTGAAGAAACAGAATCAAAATATGAACTGTTTTCTAGATACGGGAGCTGGCAAGCAAATGACAAGGCATTTGTAAGATGCCTCCAGCATGGTTATCATGATACTCATGGCATTCAGCAAAGCACCAAAAGGGCATCGCGATATTCTACAAATCCAAGGAATTCTCGATAAAATAAACAAGCAATTGCAGCTCAATTTCAAATTACTAATGCATATACTTATTTGATTTTCCTTAAAGACACCGTCGTAACCTTTTAGGTCCAGGAACCATTTTCATTACCAGTAGCTATTAATCATCCCACTGCAACTGACTGACATTGTTTTACCTTATTCATCAACTTCTCTCTCGTTTTTTAACAACAAAAATGGATTGAATTAGGACAATGAGAGGTCAGAATCAGATCAAGAAATACAAATGAATGGGTGGAAAATAAATATAAAGAACCCTACAAGAAACTATCAGAAAATTATAGCTTATACAGAGAAAGGACCTCACCAGAACAAGTCCAATTATATTTGTTGGGTTTCCATAATAAACCGGAACTCTGCTAAGACCCATTGTCATTACTTTATTCAATGTTTCCCTGAAATGCAAAGATTAAGACAAAAAAACTTAGAACATAAGAGTAGTAGTAAAATCCTACGGTTGCAATATGCTGGAATCTGCAAACCCACAAATCAAGAGTTGTATCCAGATCAAGGGAAAATGCATTTGAAATTGGCGTCATGGCAACTTTGGCAGTCTTTTCAGTCATTTCAAGTGCCCCGGCAATGATAGTTGTCTCATCATGAGTTAGATCCCCACCTTTCCCAGCCTAAAAAAAGCATACATGTACTGACAGATGTTGCTTGTACAAAATCATAGAAAATGGAGTTCTGCAAATGATTGCCACCAGCTCCTAAACTTCAAAATTCAATACCTCATTGCCATGAAAATCCATGAAAGTCTTTAGCTCTGCTCTTCGTAGTAGGGCAGCATGTCCCTTTCCCAACATCCAGTCCAAAACCTGAAAGTATGTCATTTATTAACAAAATATGAAACACAAGACCCATGTTCAAGAAAATAATACTAGCAAACTTTAGTTTCAACTATGTCTAATGTAGAAAGCACATGATGATATGGTAAAGCAAATACCATTATTCGCAACAAAATAATAGAAAACTCATATAATGACTATACCTTGCTGATTGGATAAGAAATTGGTAAGAAAAGGAAAAGAAGAACACGAACGAATGGTGCCATTGCAGCTCCAACTTTCAAGCCATACCGAGTGCAGACAGCTTGTGGCAATATCTGCAGTCAGATGTACAAATACATATTAACAAGAACACTGCAACTTCCTCAAAAAGATAGCTAGTTCAATATGTTAACAACCAACCTCTCCAAACATGAGGATCAGAGTCACTGATACCAAAATTGCAGCCCATGGAGGCACAAGCTTGTCCAGAAAAATGGGAAGAGTCTACATGAAAGGAAAGAAGTAAAGAGAAGAACCAACAACATCGACGAGAGAAACTGATGAGAATTATTTATGAAGTAAGTAGTAACCTCCATTGCCAAAGAGTTTCCAATCAATAGCGTACAAAGCAGAAGATGCTGGTTTTTTACAACGGGAAATATCTTTGCTGCCAAAACAAAACCCCTGATTGTTACAAATGAATGTAATGAAAATTTCACCTATATGATGATAAGATCAGCTAGAATTCAACTAGGTATCCAATTCTCCCTGAAACTAATTACTACATACTGTAGCAGAAAATAGAATAATCAAAAGCACATAGACAAAACAACAACAAAACAGAGCCATCAAAAGACTTTGAACTCAGTAACCAGCCTCCTCCCTTCCGCATAATAGGAGAAAGAGTAACGGCCCCCACTGAGTCGACTCAGTTCCAAGAGCTAATTGCGCACTGTATCCTCAACTCTTCAAACATAAATTATACTTCAAACCAACTTAACTACCAACACAAGGAAAACAAGGAAATTACAATCAACGATTTATCTAAAAAAGAAAAAGGGTTGAGGGATAAGGATACCGGCATGTATACGATCTTGAGGACTGCCAGACTTCATGAGGACTTCAAGATCGACGAGGCCCAGAGACATGAGACCCAGTGTTAGTCCAGCCATCAACCCAGCGAAACAAACCAATCCCACAATTATCAGGAGATACAATGAGAATTCAACCCCACAACAGTGCACGTCTGAAGCCATTTTTTCCTCCTGGTTTTCTCTTAGCCTTTGAGAATTCAGCAAAAAAAGGTGATTTTGGGATTTGAATTGTCTTCTAAAGTTTTGGGTTTCAGGAAATTCGATCGGATACCGAGTTCAAGATGACCAAAATTATCTATCTGCTCAAGGGCAGTGTTTACTGCTTTGGGGTACCTGCCTGTACAATGAATGGAATGGAATTGGAATTGATATGAGAGCAGGCAGCACTTTAACATTCCATGCTTACATACAGCCTGGCCACTCGAATACGTATCTTTCTTTGCAATTTCCCTTTGCTGACGTTTTACCAGAGCTCTCCCCGTAGTTATTTTACATTCAGAAAACATTAAATCTTTGTCTTTTACTCCTCTTTTTATGGACAACTTTTGGTTTTCATCTCTTTATTATTTTTGATTGGATTTATATTATATAGTTTAATTATTATTGTTATTATACTTTACTCTCAATAACTTGTGCCTTTGAAGCATTCTATGATTGAGGTCGAATAAAATTGGACTCAATTTATGTAAATTAAATTTTACGTACAAAAATTTTGATTAGACTTAAAAAAATTGACTCAACTTAAAAGAAAAAATTAAATTTAAACCATGTTGTAAAATATAACTCGAAATTTTTAGTAAACAGTGAATTGATTTTTAAGTTTGAGTCAAGTATTTCAACTCTGTATGATATATGCATATTACATATGAAGAAATATATATGTATATTGTATGTAGTTGTAGAAAACTATTTAAATTGAAATAGAATAGTATCATAACATTATAAATATTTACAACTAAATTTAAATGGAAGCTCGAATAATAGGACTCCATTAGACTTTGATTCAAATTTTATAAATTCGACTCAACACACACAAAAATCAAATAAAATTTAAGTTATAAAATATTATTCGTGAACTCGAATTCAACAAAAAAGTTTTCTAGTTTAACTTAAAAAAACAATTTATTAAAGTAGAGTGAGAATCACAAATATCATATCCATTATTCTTAAAATAAAAAAATGAATTTTAAAAAGTTAAAAAGATTAATAATTTAATTTAAAAAATAAAATTTTAAGATATTATTTTTTAAGTTTTTCGTGTATTTTTTGAGTCTAGTATCAAATAATTCGTCTTGATTCATTAAAAACTCAAGCTATATTCAAACTCAATCTAATATTAATTAATATTTAATTGAATCAAACTCAAATAATTTACTATCGATTTTTTTTTCAGCCTAGAAAACCTTTTGATGCAACTTCTGGACCTTTTGGCCCAGTGCTATTTTAAAGTATGAATGCATTGAATGGGGAGGTTCGGTATTTAGTCGTATTAAATTAGAACTTTTTAATATAAATTAATTTAATTATCTGCCAATCTTTAGGAATAAAATTAGAAATTTTTAGTGGACGTCAAAAATTTGAAAATACAACTAAATAATTACGTGTTAAAATTATTTAAAAATTATAATATAATTTTTAGAGCGCTGAAAATGTACTTTTGTTTAACGGGACTAAATTTAATGACTAATTTTTAAAGAGGAACTAAGGGTCTGTTTGTTTCCAATTACGGAATTGGTTTTCTCCGAATTCCCGTGTTTGTTTCACGTAATTCGTTTTTCGGAAAATGTTTTTCCGTGTTTATTTCACGTAATTCGTTTTTCGAAAAACGTTTTTCCGTGTTTGTTTCACGTAATTCGTTTTCCGGAATGTAATTCATTTTCCTAGTAACAGAATTTCCTTTGTGTTTTTTGTAAAATGACTTACGGATTCATTTTCCGTAAGTCATTTTCCGAACTTTTCACTTTAAAGCAAAAATACTCAAAATAATTTTATTTTATGAATTTAATATTAATAAAATATTTTAATATCATTTTCATCAAAATATTAATTATTAAAATATTTAAAATATATTTATTAATATTTATAATAATATAATATTATTTTTTAATATTATATAAAATAATCAATTATATTATAATAATATAAGATATTATATTTTTATTTTAATAATATATAATAATTTTTTTATATATTTAATAATGAATAATATTATTTATATATTTCAATAATATTTTAGTAAAGATATTAAAATATACTAATTAATATTTTTAAAATATAATATAGTACTATTACTTTAATAAATAATTAATATAATTTATAAAATTTTATTTCACTAAAATATACCGAAAAAATGTTTAAATAACATCTTCCAAACATCATAAAACGTTTTCCAGATGTTTTCCATAAATGTAATTCATTTTCCAGAAATGTAATTCATTTTACAGAAATGTAATTCATTTTCCAGAATTCAAATTCCAGTAATTCATTTTCCAGTAATTCAAATTCCAGTAATTCAAATTCCAGTAATTCATTTTCTGAAAAACCAATTACAGCTAAACAAACAGACCCTAAAACTACAATTGTACCACTTAACCAACGGCGCTAAATATCCAAATTTAATTAGTGAGAAAATCTATTCTATGTAAAGATATTATAAAACAAAAGTTTTGAAAGTAGATTGAATAATATATATGCAAAATATTTTAAAAAAATAGATTTAATATTATAGATTCTTTTTTAATAATCCGAGAAAATTATAAGTTAATGTATGTTTAGAATTTTTTTAGTATATGAACAACATACATCTTATAAACAACTTAATAAATATTCATTTTACTACTGAGATCAATTTATGTATTATAGACATCTAAAAGTTCATATACGTGAAATATAAAACTAACTCCTAATATTTGCTGCTTCTTTTGAAGGTCCTAATATCTGCTTTTGAGTAATAGATAGTAGTAGATGGCTGCCAAGTTGATTGCAATAATAAAGAAACAAGGGCAGCCTAGTCTTGGTTCCAGCCTTCCAGGTGCTCTTTTGTCTTCTTGTTACATTAGACCAAACTTACTGCATTTCTCAATTGGCATGAAACAGTATGCTCGTTGCTCCATCAGGAATTAATGAATAGGTTTTAATGAAGTGGGTAAAACAAATTTAAGATTTCAATTTTTAAAATCTTATTATGTTTAAGGGTGTTTATAATTATTGTTTTTTAAAACTTCGTTTAGAGTTAAAAAAGTATTTTTCAGTTATAAAAATAGTAAACATAACTTTTAATATATATATATTTTCAATATCTGAATTTTATAATGGGTCAAAAACACTTTTAAGTACAATTATTAGTTTGCTTTCACTTATATCATCAAATATTTTTATATTTTAGTAAGTTATAATGTCAAAAAATATACTTATTACTTTTGACTGAATAATCATTTTGATTCCTGTTATTTTTAGAGCACTTTGATCCGCTAGGTTTCATATTAAGACAAAATGATCTATTATTAGATGGAAACTGTTAATGAATGTCACCGATGTGGTAAATCCTTTGATGTAGCAGCCACATCGACAATTGTTAACCATTACAAATTGAAAATTCAATGGTAAAAAATGATCAATGGGAAAAGTTCAATGATATCTAATGTAGTTTATCCTAAATTAAAATACATAGACAAATATTCGACGTTCAAAGAAATACATCTACTTTGTATGGGGATCCCATGAGTAGAAGTACAAGTAGAAGGATATATACCTTTCCAATCAACAGATAAGAGAAATGAGTAAACTAAATACAGTATTGCAGGGGCAAGAATAGCAGAATACGTCGAGGCTTTGTTTTTAAGCCTCCAAATAAGAATTTATTTCACAGTGGAAGAATATGAAATTCATGTGGCATGAAATCTTCACTTGGTCTATAGTATTTATCTGGGGAATACAAGCTTAAGTTGGAGACTTGGCTAGTGTATAGACACGCAAATCTCTCCACCTGCATCATCACGCAACACATTGTAAAGGCAAATTACTACATGTACCAATCTACAAGCTTTATACTAAATTCTTCCACAAGTCTAACCATGTCACGACCCCTGGACTGACCAAGTACTCTCATTCCCTCCGTGCTCATAAGCCGGTATTGTTTTCAAAAGAGTTCTTACTGGATCCTTCAGGTTTTATCATCCAAAGTTGTACCTCCCAGGCTTGAACCAGAGGAGGAAATGAGTAACCGGCCAGTCGGTAAGTCGTAACAAACCTCTATCAGATGGATGATGGATGGTTAGGTCTACAACTTACCTGATGAGCAAAGCGAGAGTTTTGGTAGCCAGTCTTCATGAGTTGTCCCCAGATCTTATGGAACTATTATGTGAATAGATAAAACAACCATTGTTAGTACAGTTGATTCGATGGTTGCTTACACTATCTAGGTTGATTAGCATTGTAAGCAACTTAAAACAATACCCAAATGTAGAAGGGAAAAAGAAAAAGAAAAAGAAATAAATTCACCTTTTGGTGACACTCCCGTTGAGCCTGTTGATGAGCAAGTCGCACTTGATCCCTTTGAGACTGTTATGAAAACCATTAAACATAAAATCTAAGAATGCTTCAAATCTTTCATATGGCAACACATAAAATAGATCGGAACTTATAGACTAACCTCCAGTTCCCCCAGAGCTGAAGTCATTTTCTGTTTTTCATCATCACACAGTCTCTCAAATCTGGACCATAGGAATGCAACTCTTAATAAAGTAATAACAAAAACAAAATCCAAGTATACGCAAGCAAGGCAGAAAATTCTTCCTTATCCTCTTAATAGAAGAATGTTTTTAGAAAATTCAACATTATTCAAAAAGATCAAATCTAGGGTTACATATAGTAGAATGTTTTGACTGATTAAATAAGCACTTACTTAAGAGACCATGTCAAATGATGAATTTGATCTTCGACAAGATCACGCTCATTCCTCAACAACCTTAATCGCTGAATTCCCAGAAAACACTTGTTAAAATCATCCATGCTATGGAATTAATTGTTATTACAGCATATTCTTGTTGATGAATTATAATTTTACACAATATTATCCAAATAATATGATGCAGAATGAAAGACCATGACACCATCTCAATTTAGCATCATATCAACATGTAGAACGCACCTTTCGCGTATCTCTGAACTCCCAAAGCAATTCAATCTCCCTCTCAAGCTCCGGAACAATGAGCATTGTTCTCCACCCTAATCACAGGTATATTACAAAATTAAAAGCAGTTATGCACCAAAGAAAAACAAATGTTAACATACAGATATAAAGCTACAATATTTGCTCATTTTAACATCAGTGACCATAGCATAACAATCAATGAAAATAATGATGACAAATATGTATAGATATTTTGATGACACAAGGAAGATTAAGTCCCAATAATACATTGAGACCATGAGAAAATATCACAAGGCATTGTGGATGCATTGCTCTTGTTACATTTCTGCCTTTCAACTGTTTAATATAATTCATTGAATTGTTGCAGCCTTGGAAAATAATAAACAAAAAATTAATACTTGTAGTGCACATTCCGTCTAATAATAGTGCATACTACAAAACCTCATTATATTCCATAAACCTAGAATTACTAATTCACCCGTTCAGAGAGGTTCAAACTTCAAAGGTCAATCTCACACAATTATATTAAACATCAATGACTAATTTAAATGCAACAGAAAACAGGGAGGAGGATGAAGAATAAATATATAATTCATACCAAGAACCTTCTTGCTACGCAAAATATCTCCGTAGATATGGTCACCAACATAAAGAACCTAATAGAAGCAAGCAACAAATTAGACTTTCAAAGAAAAACATAAAACGAAAAACTCTAAGGTAGACCTGGGGACTAAATTATGTAGAGTATTTACTGTGGAATTCAACAAGCCAAAGACAAGAATGATCTCTATAAAACAATTTATGAAGACCACAAGTCATTTATGATTCACCACATCAAAAAGAAAAAAAAGGATCACCTGCGAACTTGACTCTATAGAAAGCAACTTATGTAGATGAGCCACATTGCCACCCTGACAAGGTCAAATAAAGTGTTGGTTGTGATCTCATAATATCTAATTCTACCTTTGACTTCCCTACAAGATAAATCTATCAATATCCAATATTAGAAATTCAGAATACCTGGAAGACTCGGCAACTTTTGTTTAATCCCTTTGATAACACATTTGGTGATGTATTTCCCACCTTTTATCCAAATATATGTTTAAATCATCAATTTACCGTAAGACAAAGTCGTACCGCTGAGTGAATACAGAATAAAAATAGCATATTTCACCCAACCTGGGGCATAGGAGTTCCATTATCAGTATTGAGAAGCATTCCAGATTCGGGTTCAACCTCAAAGATATTGGCACGGTTGTCTTCATGGAAGAAGCCAGGTTTTGCACTGCAAGGTTACTTTCATCTTCAATGCCAGAAATCAAAGGAGAAAAGATGATAGCAAGTGTTACAGATATTTATAAAAAGAAAGATTAAAACTAATAACCAGTATGTTGAGCTTGGATGAAACTAAACCTGCCAGTGATGACAACATCAAAATATTGGAGCCAATCAAAATTGCAAGTCGAACTACCATCCAATGTACGGGACGCACAGAGAAAGTTCATTACAATATTCGTGTAGTCCCATAAACTGAAAGAGATGTCAATTATTAACTGATTGTTCAAACAGCCTTCAGAAAATGGAAGTCATATGATAATATAAAGACGCATATATACACACGTTCTATTAAAACGCAAAAACCTCAAGAACTACCAACTACAAAAGTGAAACCATATATAGCATGCATGCCAAAAACATCCAACATTGGGCAAATTCCCTTTGATGCGAAAAAAGGACAAGAATTTGCATCGAAACCCATACTACTCTTCATGCCTAAACAATTAAGATTTGAAATCAGAAAGAGATACATACCTGTTTGTCACCAAGAATGTTGAACGGCCAGAATCCCTTAGCATTTTGAACAATGGTACTATAGAGGTGTCCTCATTAATATACCTGACAATGAAATGGATAACAACTAAACAAAAAAAGGTCCAAAATTCCAAAATGCACTATTAGAATACGTCCGAGCAAAGAAAAAGCAGCTCCATTTTGCCAGTTCCTTTAAATCAAATAGGGATTGAATGACAACCATCCTTAAATTTAGTCATAATCTAAAATTATAAAAATTAATGTCACTGTCTAACATACCTTTTAGGATCCTTTGCAACCATTTGCTTTAAAGTTCCATCACGGTGGCACAAATCAACAGCAGCACGAACATCTTTGTACATGCAGGCATAACTGAAAGCATCATTGACAGTAGGCATTGCTCAATATAAAAACCTGATAAAAGGAACCGGCATTTAAGTACCTAAAAGTTCCCACTTTATTTTATAATTAAGCATCAAACCACAGAGCATGTTTTTTATATTACTGTTCAACAACTATATAGAAAAGATTCAACCAAGATGTGCTACTTTCTAACATAATATTATCATGTTAAAAGCTTCTGGTAGCATGCAGTAACTTCCTGTCGCACCAACGGCAATTGGCAAACAAATGACAGCCCAATTGACTGCAACTCTCCAAACATTATTTGAGTTTTTCTAAAAGAGTTATAAAATTATTGAAGAAGCAGTAGTTGAAATTCTTACTCAACTCCCTCCGGAACTTTTCCAGGGTTATTGTCCTTAAAGTCGACAAGTTGAGCAAACATGTATGCTTCAGCTAGTGAAAAGAGTGTATCAATAAGGGCATAATCTGGCTCATCAAAAGAATCCCGTATGAGTGTATTCCCATAGGTACCAACTTTATCCTCCTTGGACAACCCTCTGAACCCATGGTATGCTACTTTAACATACTTATGTCGATCCATCTGTTAAAAATACATGACCATCAGATGACATTAAGCACAGTTGATGTCGGAGATAGTCAGAGAGAGACAGACAATTATTAAGTCAAGCTGGCTAGGGAGAACAAAAGCAGAAAAGGAACATTTCAACCTTCAAGATGTTGCCTCTCTTTTTGTCTACAACCAACCCTCTAACCATGTACTTTGAATCAAATGTCCATGCTAGTAACTGCATGAAATTTTATCACTATCAGCATGGCTCTACACATCACTCAAAGTTTGGCAATATTATTCGTTATATGGATTTACAATTGTAGAAAGTCGACAAACCTCTTGAGGATAGCCCAAATCATATACCAATTTTTGGATTGTGCCTTCATAAGCAAGAGACTCAAAAGTCTCAGGTTTGTATTGAGCTAAGGTATAATCCATATCAAAGCCAACAGCAACAATATTCCTCATATTCAGTGACCTGTTGCAGAAAATTTGTTTCCCTATATCAATTTTACATCCGCCTTCATGTGACGACCATACACGCGGTTCCTCACCACCATTTCTGTTGGCCATGAGATGAGATTGTGATGCTTTGTCACCTAGCATGGTCCCAGCACTATGGTCCTTTGAACAGTGAGAGTTTGAATGATTAAACCCTGAATAGATTAGCAGGGATAAAAGGGGGTTAGCATTAATGGTACAATGATCTCAAATCCAATTCCTGATCCGTTAACACGTGTCTCATGCGACCACAGAATCATGTCCTAAAAGAATGAATATTACACGCAGTGCATAAGAAGAATGAACATAACTCTGCTTTTAATGATAAACAATCGGGATTATTAACTGCGAAAGCATAAAGCCTAATTATTAAAATCAGCGGCATATTCAAAACTCAAAGTTCATGTCATCTTTAACAATTGCACTAGATTCTTATGAGAATTCAAGATTTAGATTATACAAACCAGCCAGACTACACATATTAGTTGGTTGCACATAGCATCATACATAACGCATTACACTGAACAAATTAATATGAACTCGAGTGCTTCATGATAGATTTTTTCTTTCTTACTACTCAATCTGAACAGTTATATAACATTTTTAAGGTATAAATTATAATATTTCCTTCTCGTGAAAAAGAAAAAAAGTTAATCATTAAGGAAAATAAACAGTAAGATTTCCTGGAGACAATTAGGCAAAAAACCTTGACATCTTACCTCAGAAGTCAAATCAAAAGACCAAACAGCGCACCACATTAAGTTCCAAGCCTAAGAATCTTCCAACATATGCGCCAAATAACACCTAAAAATCCAATTTTCCCAATCAAAACTAATCCAGTTCCAACTAAATGAATTTCATTCTATTCCCCAAAGTTTACACCAAATCAAACAAACAACTTCCCTAACCTCAACCACAATAACCAAACCAAGGGAGAAACTCGACAATGCAAATGATAAATGCAACAACACGAACAAATTAAAAAATAAAAAAAAAGATGAGCTAGTAACCTGCAGCGTAGATGGGTTTAATTTTGGCGGGAAATCCAGAGGAGAAGCGAAGAATACGGGAGGAACAGGGAGCGGGAAAGTCGGGGGAGAAGATGGAGAGGCAAAAAGCAACGGGCTTCTTGGGAATTCTCATGGTGGAATTATATAGGCATCTGGAGGAGTGAGCAAAGAAGTTAAGTGGAATTGAAAAAAAGCCGGAATCTGATTCCTATGAGGAAAAATATTGGAAATATCCGGGTACAAGTTGGCAATGAGATTGCAACGGAAAACAAGAGGAAGATGAAGAGACGCAGGCAAATACTAAAACTGAACAAATTCCTTAGTTTGGGGGAAAGGGAAAATGAAAAATAGTAAACAGACAACTGTAATCGGAATCAAAAGTGGATTATTCATGTTGGTTAGTGGGACGTGGAAGAGAGGAATCAAAAGGGAGGGAATCCAATTCCTCTGTTCTGAATTCTCCGAATCCACCCCACCAAAATATTATACTAAAACCACGACGATGAAGTGACACGTGCCGTCGTCACTTGTTTAGTGGATCATCAATGAAAGTTGAGCCCATCTTTTGTATTTTACAGCGGACAAACCCGGTGAATTACTGGATTTTCTGCTCATTCATTTTTTGTTTTTCCTAATATAATCTTATTTCCTTTATAATTTAGAAATAATATAAGTACCTTATTATTAAGTTAATTATTCACCATTTTATAGTGTTGTATTTGTTCATAATTTTTTTATTATTGACGATTTATTTTGTAGACGTAGCTGCTCGAATCTAATATCTTAAGAAAAAATAAGACTTCTTTTAATCACTAAGAACACTCAAAAAGTTTATTAATTATTTATTTTTATAATATTAACCAAACAAGATAATCATAAATACTAACATTAAAAATAACGTTTTTCAACGATTTCAATGATTAAAATATTTTTGTCATCATTAGATCTCAAGTTCGAGCATCGCGTACGTAAGGTACGAACGTTTATTTTTAAATGTTTGAGATTCTTTAAACATAATTTACTTATATTCACCTCGGTTTTATAAAAAAATACATATGTGTATTATTAATAGATTAAGAAAAAATTGAATATATAGTATTTTATACTAATCTTGAATTATTCAAAAAAAATTAAGAGTTTATATTTCTTGTTTGAATTATTTTCTGGCTGTAATTTGCTTTCGGTGATGTTGTCGTGATAACATAAAGAAGTTCCCCCCCCCCCCGCGCAATTGGATATGTTCATGACATCCTGTCCACTATTTTTAGATAATATTAGTATACGATACATTTGGTGTAAGGGTATAAAAAAATCAATTCAATCTTTGATTTTTAAAAATTTTAATAAAAATTGAATTATTTAAGACCAAATATTATAAATTATTTTAGAAATTATGAAATATTAAATATTATTAAAAAAAATAAAATAACACTAAACATTCCAAAATATATAGATTTATTAGAGTATTTAAGCTCATTGGGTTAAAATTTACCTTTAAGCTATGGCTTCGGCCTCGTCTTAATTTAAAAAAAGTTGATATATTTATATTTATATTAAGTGAGAATTGAGCTCAATTAAACATTAAAAATGGTTTTTTGAACTAAAAGGAGAGAAAAGACCAAATGATTGAATAGATCATATTGTGAAAAATAGGTCGACTTCTCCTTAATTTTACGTGGGGAGGGGAGACAAAAGTTGATTGCATGAACTTACCCCATCTATCTCCTCTTTTCCATCCTCTTTCTCTGTTCTTCTCTCCCAAAATCCTAGAGTTTGAGCACAAAAAGGATCATCTTTCTTATTCTAACCATTCATCTAAAATTTAAAAATATACGTAAGATCCATCTCCAACACTTCATGAGCTTAAAAAAACATTATCATCTACTCCAAAAGATAATGTGAACCTATTTAGAGGTTTTTGTAAGGTTTCAAGTTTTGAAAGCTTATATCATTTCTACTTCATTTTTGCGTTCTAAATCCTTAATTTTATTCCTCTTAATTCCTGGTTTGATGTGTGAATCTTTTTCGTGCTTGTTTGATTAGAAAGAAAGAAAAAAGTTGGAGAGACTTTCAAAGCCGAAGGAATTGAGAAAAAATGGTGGGAAATTAGCAAATGAGCTTCCTTTGTTGATTTCGCACCACCTCTAACTCTAAAATGTTTCATGAAACCCATAAATGTGATACCTTGCATATTAAGTATTTTTTGGTGGTAATCATGCATATGATAATTTTTACGGCTTTTGTCATTATAAAATTGTAACAATGGCAATGAATGTCCAAATAATAATCTCAAAACCTTTAAAAACCAGTTAAGGTTTCAAAATTTGTGTTTAGAGTGATTTTCATAACCTTATTTTTGAATTTTCTGAGTTTTAGTATCGATATTGTATGAACATGCCTTAAAAATTAAGATTTTTTAAAGACAAGTATCAATATTGTTCATTTAGTATCGATATTTTCTTAGACAATAACAACATCTAATAGTGTATGAAATTCTAGTATGTCATTTTAATATTGATACCTCAAGCTAGAGTATTGATACTCTTGGTTATAAATAATTAAATATCATAGAATATGTATACATTAATTTGTTGTCCATTTTTATTTTATTTTATTTTTATTATTATTATTATTAAATAATAATAATTACAAATAAACATTACTGGCCCAATTAACAATAGTAGACCCAGAGGCCCATTTACAAATGTAATTGACCCGGTTTAGACCCGATCTGGCTCAGACAACCTAATAGGACCCAAACCCGATTAGGGTTTTTATCATCTCAGCTTTCAGTAGCTAACACCATCAACAGTTGGATCTGGAGAGATCTAACAGCCACATATGATCCAGCAGAAATCCTAGGGTTTCATTACACCCTAGGGTCTACGCCGACTGCCGCCTCCAAGAGCTTCATCTAGCCGTTGCCGCCTCAACCGAAGCCTCCAGAAGACACTAGGACGGCCACACACATCAATGCCCTATGGTGAGTCACCACCGTAGCTTCGGTGACTCACCGAGGGCTACTCTTGTGACCGGTCTAAGAGCAGTATCATCGAGGCCTATAAAATGCCATCCCCTGCAAAAACAAGAAGAAAAAAGCAACACAGCAACAACCCAAACAACAACAACAACGAAAAACAGAGAAACACAACATCCAAACAGCGAAACAAAAGAAGAAGAAAAAAAAGAGAACCTTACCGAGGAAACTACACGGTCATCAGAGCATCCACGCGCCGCGCCGTCGTAGAAACGAAATATCGAAGGTAAAAAAACTAGATCTATGAAGTTTGGTAGGGTTTTAGGCTAAGATAATCCCAGATTTGGCTTTAGGGTAACTGGGGCTTTGATTTGGGATAAGTTTGTAAATTTCGGACATCGTGGGCGGCTGTCGTTGTTTTGAGGATGGCTATCGGACGATGGTCGGCTTCCCTCCGGCGAGGGAATTATAGAGAGAATGGAGAGCTTCTCTCTCCTAGAGAGAAGAGAGGCCAAAATGAAAAAAATGAAAAATTTGGCCTTTAGGGCCGGTTTGGGAGTATTTAAATCCCTCCCCAAACGACGTCGTTTTGGAGAGGGATCTCTGTGTAATTTTCAGCATGGAAAAATTATGTCCGCAGTCCCTCTTATTTTGTAACTTTGCAATTTGGTCACTGAAATCAATTTATGCACATTTTAATTTTGTTTTTATTTTATTTTAGTCATTAGCCTTATTAGTAAATATTTAAGGTAAAATAACCTATTTAGCCCCTATAATTTTAATAATTTTTATTTTGATCCCAAATTATTAATTATGGTTAAATTACACTAATAGTATTTATATTTCATAATATTTTGAATTATGACTATTTATATAGATATTTTGCAATTTAATCCTATAGTTTTAATTTTCTTTATTTTGATCACTGTTTAATTATTACTTTTTATTTTATTCCTTTTCTATAAAGAAAAAATGAAAAACAATCGTGATTCACGAAGTTACATAAAGGCACTTTAAGAACAAATTAAGCGCAGTGGAGGCTTAGCTAACTTTAATTATACTCAAATTACAAATAAAACATGGATGGGATTTATTTTTATTCTATTTTTAATTTTAAAAGATACTTCCTTGATGTAGTGAAGGCCTTCAATATGCTTCCACTACTTCAAAAGAATGTTTTATGTGATTTGTACACCATAGCTTCGTAAGCAAGACATACCATGCATTGCACAATTTCATTAATAATATTTATCAACCTTAATTAAAGTTTTGAAGTGTCATTTATTCTTTTTAAAAAATTAGAAATAAATTTTTTATAGGATAAATATAAATATATATATTAATATAACATCTAAAATATTTAAACTTTGTTCCAGTTTACCTATAAATTGAAAGATAATACACACTAAAATTCATTTAAATCTTTGTTCTCTTTAGGTATTACAGTAACAACAATGTCAATTGAACTAAATATTCTATTGATATGTTTCACGATAGATCTAATGTAATGCCCAAATTGATGACATTGTATCCAAAGGACTTGATTGATATTTTGATATTTTTTTAAAATAGTTTAGAGTTTAAAGAATAATTTAAAATATAAGTCATAGTTTGAGGATGTCTAGTATAATTAACTTTTTTTCAAATATTAGTTAAAGTAAAGAGACGTTTCTTATGAAACCTAAAAACTCTACTAAAACTGTAATAAATAATTTCTCTAGCTAGAAATCTACGTCAAATAATTTCAATATTATATATTCATGTATAATACATCAATTACATAGGTATAAATATGTTATATACAGATATAAGTTTTAAAATTACAATATTTTAATGTAATTATAAGAAAATAAATAAATTATTTTTAAATTACTTTTTTATTTGGATAGTCTAATTTGTTTACAATATAATATATGTTCAAAATCTTTTTTAATCATTGTCAAAATCAATCTTTTTTAACCCTACAAACATCGTTCAAACTTGAATCCTCTTATAATAATAACATTCTCTTTTAAAATTAATTTAAACTATTAAAAATATGCACTAATCGAAATTGGTTTATACACAATATTATCAGAAATGGACTGAAACGGCTGTGCCAAGAAGACATCATTTTTATGAAAATGAAACTTACAGCATATTACCAGTTTATGACCGATGTGGTACGAATCTTCTGCAATTTACACCGTGTGTATGACCGGATTGCAAGAGGGTGCCAATTACAATGAACAATTGCTTGGTTGTTTTAATAAATTAACTACAAAACAAGCTCCGAAATATCAAAAAAATCTCACTCCCTGGATAGTATACCCTCTCATCTCCATGGCCGGCTTCGGCTGTGGTTAGGCATCAGCTCCACCAGACGGGATCGCCCATAAGATT